TCCCTACTTTTCTATTCCTGTTCCTTTTCTGTCTCTTTCCTCTTTTTTGGTGCTTCTTTCTTCCCCATTTTCTCTCCTTTTTTTCCTTGCTTTTCTATCTTATTTTTGTTTTCTTTCCCTGCTTTTCATTCCCAGATGCTTCTTTCTGCTTTTTCGCTTACTGTTTTATTTCCTGCTGCCTTCCTTATTTTCTATTTTTCACTTTCCTTTTTGCTTGCCATTTTTTATTTCCCGTCCATTTTGATTTCCATTATTGTTTCCTTTTTTCTTGCTATCCTTTTTCCTGATTGCTTTCCTCTTGCTTGATAGATTGCATTCCCTTTGGGTTGTTATCCCTTGACTTTGTTTCCTTTTTTTCTTTCCTTTATGTCTCCATTTTTTACTTTTCTCTTTTCACGATTCCTTTTTTTTTTCTTTTTTTCTTTTTCTTCCTTCTTCTTTCCTTTTCTATTCTTTCCATTTCCTTTTTCTTTGCATTTTCTCTATACTCTGTTTCCTTTCTCTCTTCTTAGTGGTTTTCTTTCCTTGCTTTTCTTTGGGATTCCTTGATCTTCTTGAAGCTGCTTTGCTTTCCAGTTTTCCTTATATTGGACTTTTCCAGCCTCTTGTGTCTTCCGTTTTCTTCTTTTCTTCATTCTCTGCTCTCCTCCATCTTCTTTCTCACCCATCCTTTTCCTCTTTCTTTTCTTTCCTGTTTCCTCTCCTTCTTTCTTCATTCTTTCATTTTCCTTCTGGCCTCCCATGAGACCCACGCTCAGATGATTCCAACAGCAGAGCACAGCAATTACTCTCCTTGCAGCTTTGAGGTCTTCTTGCCTCCTAGAAGCTTTCCTTTTCTTTCCAGGCAGTGTGAGTGACTCTCATGGAGGACATGTACAGATAATGTAGCGGTGACTGCAGTTAGGATGTCACCTTACGCAGAGAGAAAGCCCCAGTCCAAGACCTCTAGCTGCGTGGTTGCACGTGAGGAGAGAATGGAAGTGCATGTGCCAGACAGGCTGGGTGCTGCCTTTGTGCACAGCCTGCGCCTGCTGTTCCCACGGGACCGGAGAGGAAACGGTGTTGGCTCAGCCGGAGGGGTGGCTGCACACCAAGTGGGATATTGCAGGGTGTGCAGCCCATGTTGCTTCCGCCGAGGCCGTGCTGGCTCCTCAGCACAGGGTCACCTGCCTGTGTTTAAGCAGAGCTCTGCGCTTTGCCCTGGGGCTTTAGCTCTCTACAAGCACCTGCTACCCCCAGGTTGGGATGGTGCTTCTGCAACTAAATGGCACCACAATCTCAGGGGGATCTACATTTGTGAGGGGTATTTGTCTTTATTGCCTATTTTCTTTTTCCTTTTGATTTTTTTTTCTTATTTCTTTTCCTGTCTGCTTCTTTCTTCTTTGTTTATCTTCCTTGCCATCCTCCTCCTTGAAGCTCCTCCTCCTCCTCCTTTCACCTCAGCCTGCCCAGGTGCGTAAGCTGTTTGCCCGTCGCGATGCTCACAGCTTCCTCAGTGCATGGCCACGGCCTCCTGGGCTCTGGTGGCTCCTGGCCCAGCTGTGGCACACAAGAGCACGGCCGCTGGCTGCTCACATTGTTCTGGTGGCCCAGCAGGCGCCAGAGGGCACGGGGGCTGGCCGCAGGAATGTCTTGGAGGGGCGCTGGTAACCTGGCAAGGCGCTGTCCAGGGAGCGCGTGGAGGCTGCTCGGGGTGGAGAGCCCCGGGGGAGCTGCGCAGGCAGCGGGGCAGGCTGTTCCTCCAGGGCCTTCCCCAAGCACGGCCCGTGCTGCCCAACAGCAACGTTGTGAGCACTGCTGCTGCGCTCCTGGTGCCTTGTGCTGCCTTGCAGGCACTCCCGGGTGGACAGGGCTGGCGCTGAGAAGCTCCTCTCCATGGTGCTGCGCTGCATTTCCCCCGCAGGCAGCAGCAGCGGAGGGGCAGAGGCGCAGGCTGCAACGGCCCTGCTGCCGCTGGGGCTTCTGGCGCGGGGCTGGTGCCGCCTCTCGCAGGCTGCGGGTCCATGTGCAGCTTCAGGCTCGGGGCTGCTGCTGCCCACAGCGTCTTCCTGAGCAGCCCCGGGGGATCCTGTGGGCAGAAAGAGCCCGTTAGCTACTTCTGAGTGGCTCTCTGCAGGCAAAAGGGGGCTTTGCTGGTGGGACCGGACAGTCCTGGCAGATGGCAAGCTGCAGCCTTAGCCCCTCGGGAGGTGAGGAGCAGTTCAGGAGACACAAGAGCCCCCCGAGGCCAACATCCTGCATGGACAGAGTGCAGTTCTAGCCCACAGTGAGCAATGCTGCAAAAAGCTGAGCTCCACCAGGCTTTAACATCAGGGGGGCCCTGTGTGGCATGAGCGTGGTCCTTCTCAACTTCTGGCAAGTGCTGCCAGACTAAAGCCCCGGCAGGAGCCATTGAACCCTCTGCACACAAACCTGCGGAGCTGCCGCTGTCCTCGCAGGGCTCCTCAGCAGAGGAGCTGTCAGGGAAGGCCACGTCCTCCCCGAATATTGCTGCGTGGTTGTCAATGAGGACCTCCACCAGCACGGCCACCTGCACACACAAACCATGGGCGTCAGGCAAAGGGCTGCAAAGGCATCAGTGATGTTTGCCTCTCCCCACTGCTGTTTCTGCTCCCAGAGCTGTAGCTCTGTGGCTGCAGTCAGAGCTCTGCCTGTCAGGTTGCAGGTTGCCAAGCGCAGGGGCACCCCCGTGCTCCCAGGGGCTGCTGCTGCTTTTGCAGTGGCTGTGGGTTGTGTGGACCTGGCTCAGAGGGGCCCAACGCGAGAAGCTCCCTGGCAACTTCCACACACCTTGTTGTTCATC